GGTTTCTAAGGGCTGGCTGTACCTCATTTGTATTTTGTGGGGTTTTTGTGGGGGGTTTTTTTATAAGCACGTCTTCAGGCTTTGAAGAGCTGCCCTGTGTTTGCTGAACTGTGGTTCCTCCAAGGTTGTCGTTGTTTGCGTTTCGGGAGGGCAGATGGTGGCCTTGCAGGAAGGTGCGCAGGTCGCGTTGGAGGAGGGCTCTGGGTCGGTTGGCTTTGGGCTCTGGGTCGGTTGGCTTTGACTTCTTTCCAGTATAGGTTAGTTTTTCTCCGGTGTCTCTGATGCCAGAACAAGGCCCCAGAATGAACGGTTTCTCTCTGGGCGAGCTCTGCTGGCTGTTCTGCTGCCCACCTTGCCCCAGCCGCATCGCTGCCAAGCTGGCCTTCCTGCCCCCGGAGCCCACCTACACCGTGCTGCAGCCCGAGCAGCAGCAGGAGGCTGGGGCGGCAGCCGGGGCTGGGACCCCCACGGGATCAGGCACCTGCAGCCTGCACTTGAGCGAGCGGGCGGACTGGCAGTATTCGCAGCGGGAACTGGATGCCGTGGAAGTGTTCTTCTCCCGCACGGCTCGAGATAACAGGCTGGGCTGCATGTTCGTACGTTGTGCCCCAACCGGCCGGTACACGCTGCTCTTCTCGCATGGTAATGCTGTGGACCTGGGCCAGATGTGCAGCTTCTATATTGGCCTTGGCTCCCGCATCAACTGCAACGTCTTCTCTTACGACTACTCTGGCTATGGGGTGAGCACCGGCAAGCCCTCTGAGAAAAACCTGTACGCAGACATCGATGCAGCCTGGCAGGCCCTCAGGACAAGGTAAATGGGTATTGGGGACAAGGTATTTCTGTATCTCTGTTTAATCCTAATAAGTCCAGTGTCTGCACAATTAACCTGCTGAGAGGTGGAGGGGAAGGGTTTGTAGATGGTTTCACTTATTTCGATGGCTTCACCACATGTTCCATCAACAGCTACAGTGGGATTTGCTGGATGGCTTCATTTGTTAAAAGGATGTATAAATCTTCATCCTTGGGCTTTTTTCTAGATTCAGGGATTCAGTCAACTCTACCATTACAGATCTCCATCTTGAACAGGGTATATTGCGCTGTTTGCAGTTTGAACTTGCAGGATGGGAAAAACCCGTTTTGTTCAAGACTTGCCTACCACTGTCTATGCTTAGGGGTTACCCAGTTGAGCCAAAACTTTGTCTACGTTTGACAGTAGCACTTACCAAGAAGCTGCTGGTGTTCCGTGGTGCATCTAGGGTTTCACGCAAGCTCGTGCGACTCTTTTGGCAACCAAAAAACTGGTATCAAATTGGGTAGGGTAGCAGGATGGAAGGAGAAAGTGTTGACAGGTGAAAGTAGAGCTGAGGATTCTGCCAGGAGGAGATGCCAAAGTAGGTGGCATCCAATGGAGCAGCAGTGAGAAGACTCTGGCAAGGCAGCATGGCCAGTAGGAACAAGGAGACCTTGGCTTCTAGGAAATCCTGGGCAGAGCTGCTGCCTCTGGCTCCTTATTATGACTGATTGCCATCCTTGGACTTCTGTTTCTTCTTCTGTCCATAGAAACCATGAGCTCTGTTTGCTGTTGCATAAGTGGTTCTTAAAGTAGGACCTCACAGAACATATCCTGAAAGAGAGAGCTTTAAAAAGCTTCAGTTGTTGCAGTAGAGTAAGAGAAAAGAACTATGAATGTTTTCTGTTCTTAGCTCTGGGGTTGTGTAGATGAATTTGGCTTACATGAAGTGAGTATGTAATGTCTATCTTAGGGATATGTGCCAGCTTCGAAAATAGTGACAGGAGTTGTTACTAATTTTGATAATTGGCTTTTCAAGGATCCAGGGATTGGTCGGTTGTGGAATCCAAACAGCTTTTGACATTGGTCTGCCCAAGTCAAGTTAAGAGCATGGGGGAGAAAGGTGTAAGGAGGCACCTTCCTGGTCTAGAGGAAGGTGTCCCTGCTCATGGCAGGGGGGTTGGAACTAGATGATCTTTAAGGGCCCTTCCAACCCAAACCATTCTATGATTCTATGTGTTCTGACTGTTTGGTGGGTAAACCAGATTCTGTGTTCATTTTCCTGGACGCCGTCTCAAAAAAGGAAAAAAAAAAACCTCAATAATTTTGATATTCTGTATGCTGAATAAATTAATAAATGCCATTATTATGCATATAGGTGATGTAAATAAGGTTTAAGGGAAGAAAGGTTCTGTGTCTAAGCCAAGCCTAATTAATGCTTGTCATTCAGTTGCTGTGTTTTCTCTGTTTCACTTAGTGTTTGGTTGATGACATTTTTTTATGAAAGCCTTCTAGAACTCTGGAAAAGTGCTTTCACATCTGCCTGGAAGTGCTTCTGTCTTGACAGGCATTTAGTACGTGTTTAAGATCTACATAGATCCAGAAACAAGGGGTTCCTTCACTTAAGCCTTTTGAGAAGCCTGACCCGGTAGGTAGGTGATGCCAACATGTGTGTAGATTGCTCTGAGAGCACGAAGCTCCTTCTATTAAAGCGTGACTGGAGAAGTTTATAGTTCAATATTGGAGTCCTTTCTGTGGTTTATACAAGATGTAGGTTCTGCTTTCTTCCTGAAATTAAGGGGTTGAAATTTGCCAACTCTTGCTTTTCATGTTTATAAATCCCATATCTTAGTGCTACCTTGAGAATACCGTTAGAGTAGTTGTGTTATCATTGATTAGATTTATCATTGTAGTTGTGTTATCATTAGGTTATCATTGATTAGATCCCGCTGGAGAGATGGG